GACCAAACAATTGACAGAAGTGCCGTCATGAAGTTTCTCATTTACACCACTACACATTAAGCACGGAAGACATGTAAGAGTCCCTGGAGGGGGTATTTCAGTTAGGAAACATCCTAAGCAAAATTAGTAGTATACCATAAAATATGCAAAAATGGAAGATGTCAAATCCAAGTGTGAAGGGCTGAGTGCACTACCAAAATTAATGGGAACAAAACTCCCCACTCCTTTCAAAGCTAAAACTATCTCATCTAACCTAGTAATTCATTGGCAACAAACTGTATTAAAAATGCTTCTCTCTCTTACCTCTGTTTCCTGTACAATTATGCATTTTGGACTGGCTCACCCAAATCACATTCTCATCTCCACATATCAGAGAGGGCTCACAACAATTTACATCATCCAGCGTAAGTTATCACTCATGAGCTATGTGGCAGAAATACTTCTCCTTCCAGATTTTTCCCTCTTTCTAATATTTTAGTAAAAAACTTTTAGCTTTAAGACTACAACTACTACAAAAAGAAAACAAAAAGGTTACACTTGGGGATTTTCTCAGCTGTAAAATAAAACAAGGAGACACATGCAGTCTCAGACCTGCTGATCTAACTGAAGAGAAGACGAGATCTGCCCAGAGAGGCATGGACAACCCATTTGAGGTAACAGCTTCATTTAAAAGGAGAAACAAAACAAAACAGAGAGATAAAATGGAAAGGAAAAACATGACAAGATAGCAAAACATAACAAACGTCAAGGTTCTTTTCAAGTATAAGGGATAAAGAATGTCAGGCACTGGTTATAATTTGAATAGCATAACATTTGTGATCCTTTAATGCGAGTGCAGATTAGGAACAAAGCAGGTAAAAATCACTACTGTGAATTTGGACAGGTGTGGAAAGATCGTCCTTTGTTTAAACCTTTTTAGGAGGGAGGACTCTTCTAGGAAGAAAAAAAAAATTCAAAACTCCTGAATGACCAGAAGAGACTTGGTAAGCTGATTCCTTTTTACTTCCTCAGATGCACAGGACTGGCAAAGAGAGCAAGGAGGGAAACGTGGTCCTCCTTCCAAGGACTTGGAAGATATGTCAAATTTACTGCCTACAAATGCCAGAAGGCAAGCTGCAGAAGTATTAGTAAGCAGTAGAGTGTAAATCCAGAGACAATTATCCAGAGACACACAATAACAAAGAGAAGGCAGGGCAGATCTTTTCAATGTGTATAAATACCTAATGGTAGGGAGTAAAGACGACAGAGCCAGACTCTTCTCAGTGGTACGCAGGATGACAGGCAATGAGCACAAATTGAAATAAAGGGAATTCCACTTAAACATAAGAAAAAAAAATTATTTACTGTCAGAGAAGTCAAACAGTAGAACAAGTTGACCAGAAAGGTTGTAGAGTCCCGATCCTTGGAGATGGACATAGTCCTGAGCAGCCTGCTCTAATTGATCCACTTTGAGCAGGGGGTTTGAACTAGATGATCTTCAGAAGTCTCTTCCGACTTCAGCTGTTGAGATTGGATTCTATGCTTCTGTCTGTGATGTGTGAAGTTACCTCAGGTCTGATACTTGAGGTGGTGCCTTGCTCTTTATGAAAGTGTTGGGCATTGCGAGTCCATTTAATGGTTGGACTCAATGATCTTAAGGGTCTTTTCAACCTAAATGACTATGATTAACAGTAAAAGCACCAGCTCATCTGTCAAGCAGATCCCCGTGCTGTCTAGAGAATGAGCTGCACACACATGTACTCACACATGTACTCTGTACAAGTCCAAGGAAGACAAATTAGGTTCCCGAGGGCAGGGCTCAACAAAAGGCATGGGAAACACTATGCGTTTGAACAAGGCCAGGAAGCAATGAATCGTTTGCCTCATTTGGCTATGACAACCCTGTTTCTCAGACCCTCATACCTGAACAAAGGACACACACTGTTTTCTACAGCGGGGTCCAAACATCCGAGGTTCTGAGGGAAAAATACTTTTCCTAACAAACAGTACTTACCTCATGACATAGCCTGAACAGACCCCAGGAAGTATGACCCTCCCCATTATACAGGTGAAGAATCAAGGAGAAGCGTATCAGGCCGAAGGGTGCACAGAGACCCATAAAATAAGAAGGTGTCTTGAGATCACCCACATGACCTCTGCTTTCCTACCATCAACCACAGTATGAGACCGCGGCACTCCAACGGTTCACACAAAGTATTTGCGGGGAAAAGATGAAAGCAGCTGAATATCAGGTTCCCAGTGCCGAGGAAGCTGCTGTCAGATTTATGTTGAAGCAGATTAACAGCAATGTCACGTGCTGAGGAGCAAAACAGCTTCACTGTACGCCCACTCTCTCTGCAAAACTTCCAGCAACTGACAGCTAGCACCTGACAGCTCTGTGAAATCTGCACTGCCTCCACACAAATGGAAGACTCCATCTGAACATATCAAATGCGATAACAAAGTCTGCACCCAACTCAGCCTGCATGGACTGCCACTAGATTGAAACACTGCTTTATAATGCCAGTCTTCAAAATAACACAGATCCTGCTGTGAACACATGATTTTTACAGGACATTAGAGTGGGACTAAGGGGTCTATATTCAGCTCCCTACTCCACTACACAGTCCTTTGGGTGACCCTGGACATGTAACTTGATCTTCATAAGAAAGAGGACTAATAATTTTGCTAAGGTAACAGGAATTTGAGTTTGCTGAACACCTAAAGGATGACATTTACAATCCCAGCCCTGAAATCCCAGGGAATTTTAAGTTCTGTCGTGTTGAAAAACTGAAAGCAAATAAAACTAAACCACTTGAAAAATAAACCCATCAAACCCTGGCCTTTAGGCTTTCTGCTAACAAGCTTACAAAGGATTTGTCTAGAGGCAGCCCTCCTATATTAGCAGCCGATCTATTGACGGGCATCTGGTGTTAGGTTTATCCTGCTAATATAGACCACAGGAATGTGGAGAGGTATGCATAGAGCAAAGGCTACCAGTATCTTCATAACAAGTACTGGTGTCTTATTCTAATACAGGATGCACTGAGAGAGCAAAGGAATGTGGTCAGAAAAGTTTCACTACCACAAACATCAACCCCAGACTGGCTGGGGCACTTCTACAGCACATTACTGGCTTGGCTGTTAACAGACATGGCAAACTTGGATAAGACTGGAAAGAGAAAAAGAGGGGGGGGTGGGAAATGGGCAGGGGGGAGCCCAACTGTCAGAAAGTGTTTATTGGCCAGCAGGAGTAGGGAGGTGATCGTGCCCCTGTACTCGGCCCTGGTGAGGCCGCACCTCGAATCCCGTGTTCAGTTTTGGGCCCCTCACTACAAGAAGGACATTGGGGGGCGGGAGCGTGTCCAGAGAAGGGCAACGAAGCTGGTGAAGGGTCTGGAGCACAAGTCTGATGGGGAGCGGCTGAGGGAACTGGGGCTGTTTAGCCTGGAGAAGAGGAGGCTGAGGGGAGACCTCATCGCGCTCTACAACTACCTGAAAGGAGGTTGTAGCGAGGTGGGGGTTGGTCTCTTCTGCCAAGTAACCAGCGATAGGACGAGAGGAAATGGCCTCAAGTTGCGCCAAGGGAGGTTTAGACTGGACATTAGGAAAAATTTCTTTACTGAAAGAGTGGTCAGGCCTTGGAACAGGCTGCCCAGGGAAGTGGTAGAGTCACCATCCCTGGAAGTGTAGATGAGGCGCTTAGGGACATGCTTTAGTGGGCATCGTTGTTGTAGGTTAACGATTGGACTTGATGATCTTAGACGTCTTTTCCAACCTTAATGATTCTATGATTCTATTTTGATAATTAGAGAGCATCAAAGTGAATGGCATCTGCTCTCAGCTGAGGAACAGCTGCTACCTTCAGGGTCCATTATTCCCATTTAAGACCAAACAAAGAATCTCTCCCCAGTTTTAGCAATGGAAATAGAAGACTGGAGATTGTTTTGGATAAAACAAATCTTAAGGCACTTATTTCCCAGGAATCCAGAAGAGGCAACATTGTCAAGAGGAACGCGATATATTACGTCAGGCTCTCCCTTCCATTCACGGGAATGATTTCAGCTACCTGAAATGGCTACAGCTTTCCATCCTCATTCTTGATCC